ATGCAATTAATATGAAGTTATAAAGTGAATGAGATATCATATGCAATTAATATGAGGATATAAAGTGAATGGAGTATCATATGCAATTAATATGAAGTTATAATGTGAATAAGATATCATATGCAATTAATATGAAGATATAAAATGAATGAGATATCACATGCAATTAATATGAAGTTATAAAGTGAATGAGATATCATTTGCAATTGATATGAAGTTATAATGTGAATAAGATATCATATGCAATTAATAAGAAGTTATAACCACCTCGTAAACCGATTGTTACAATAGTACATGCTGCAACCACCGATGGATAGGTGACTTGATAAGCACTGCAGAAAAGGGCCTCTCGCCTGCCGTATTGGGGACTGTCAATCTATACAGACTATGCTAGGTATATTCTCTGAACTATCTAAGCTATCTGTACTATTAAACTATCTGTGATATTAAAACTATTTGTACTATTAAAACTATCTGTGCTATTAAAACAATCTGTACTATTAAAACTATCTGTACTATTAAAACTATCTGTACTATTAAAACAATCTGTGCTATCAAAACTATCTGTACTATTCAAACTATCTGTACTATTTCTACTACCGATACTACCTATACTATCCCATACTTATCTATACCCAAACCCTTAACCCTGCACCTCCATTGTATGGACAGGTGCACACCCCATGGACTACCAAGTGTCCCAATAGTCACACCTTCAGTTTCTTGGGACGGCCTACGGCTGAGTGCTGTACACCATCTCTGAAGTGTGAGATCACAACCACTGCCCCTGGGCTCAGCAGCTGAGGAATCTGTGCATTACACAGACACAGACACACCCCAACCAACCAACGAACAAGTATTGGTACATGTGGCATTACACAGGCACATACACCCCCCAACCAACCAACGAACAAGTATTGGTACAGATAGTACACGGGTGTGTGTTTGTGAGAGGGGTTATTGATTGTGGTTGTACAGAGATGTGTTTTGTGAGATGGGTTAGAGATTGTGGTAGTACACAGAAGAAAGTGTGTAGGAACGTTTAGTGATTGTAATAGCACAGAGTTGTGTGTCTGTGGTAAGCTTTTGTACCCGTAATGGTAATGTGATGTGTATTTGTGAGAACGTTTAATGATTGTAATAGTACAGAGATGTGCTCGATTGCGTGACCGTAGAGATAGTCAAAACGACTGGTGTGTCATGTCATGTCTTGTCATGTCATGTCTTGTCATGTCTACATGATACTACTACCACCATATAATACACACTACTACTACTACCATATAAAACATGAAACTACTACTACTACCATATAATACATGATACTACTACCACCATATAATACATGATACTACTACCACCATATAAAACATGAAACTACTACTACTACCATATAATACACGATACTACTACCACCATATAATACACACTACTACGACTACCATATAATACACGATACTACTACCACCATATAATACACACTACTACGACTACCATATAATACACACTACTACTACTACCATATAATACACACTACTACTACTACCATATAATACACACTACTACTACTACCATATAATACACACTGCTACTACTACCATATAATACACATTACTACTACTACCATATAATACACACTACTACTACTACCATATAATACACACCACTACTACTACCATATAATACACACTGCTACTACTACCATATAATACACACTACTACTACTACCATATAATACACACTACTACTACTACCATATAATACACACTACTACTACTACCATACAATACACACTACTACTAATACAATATAATACATGATGCTACGACTACCATATAATACATGATACGACCACTACCATATAATACATGGTACTACCACTACCGTATAATACATGATACTACTACTACTACCATATAATACATGATACTACCACTACCATATAATACATGATAATACTACTACCATTTAATACACGATACTACTACCACCACCATATAATACATGATACTACGACTACCATATAACACATGAAATTACTACCACCATATAATACATGATACTACCACTACCATATAATACATGATACTACTACTACAATTTAATACATGATACTACTACTACCACAATACAATACATGATTACTACCATATAATACATGATACTACTTCTACCATATAAAACTACTACTACTTCTACCATATAAAACATGAAACTACTACTACTACTATATAATACACGATACTACTACCACCATATAATACACACTACTACGACTACCATATAATACACACTACTACTACTACCATATAATACACACTGCTACTACCACCATATAATACACACTACTACTACTACCATATAATACACACTACTACGACTACCATATAATACACACTACTACTACTACCATATAATACACACTGCTACTACTACCATATAATACACACTACTACTACTACCATATAATACACACTACTACTACTTCCATATAATACACATTACTACTACTACCATACAATACACACTATTACTAATACCATATAATACATGATACTACGACTACCATATAATACATGATACGACCACTACCATATAATACATGGTACTATCACTACCGTATAATACATGATACTACTACTATCATATAATACATGATACTACTACTACCATATAATACATGATACTACTACTACCATATAATACATGATACTACTTCTACCATATAAAACATGATACTACTACTTCTACCATATAAAACATGATACTACTACTACCATATAATACATGATACTACTACTTCTACCATATAAAACATGATACTATTACTACTACCATACAATGCACACCACACGCAGCCACATAGCCGCAGCCATACCTCAGCGAGGAATTCGCGGATGAAAAACCTGACGCACAAAACCACATCGAACTGTCCCAAAGTCTGCAATGCTTCCTTTCCGTCCGCCTGAGGGTCACAGGAGAGTGAATGAGACCGAAACGCACCATTGGAAATAGGGTGAGTGTGTGTGAGGTCGGTGAGGGGTTGCTATAGAATACGTGAGTCTCTAATATGTGTGGAGTGTAGGAGGGTGTGTCTATTCATAGTCCGTAAGGTGGAGCATGGTAAGGCATTGGATAAGGAAACATGGAACAGATTTACACACACACACAGCCTCGGACCAGGCCGTCGATTGCTGCATGATTACGCTGAAACCTAAACCCTGAACACGAAACACTAAGACCCTACAGAAATAATTTGGATTTTTCCGGGCGTATACTGTTGGTATGTGATACTGAGCCGAACGTTTGAACAAACGGTTACGAGAGTGAATATACATATACATATACATATACATATATATACATAC